GGCCATGAAGGCAGCTGAAGCAGGTGCTATGGGGCGCTCAGAGCTTGATCAAACATCGAAGATGCCAAGTTCATCCACTATAAGTCATCTCGACTTTTCTCTTGCCACTGAACTTCAATGACTCCGGAAGAGTGAGACTGACAACTTTTTACAACTCTGCCTCACTTAAATCCAATTCACGCTCAAGCCAAGACATAACCCCATGATGCTACTGCTCCTCTTCAAAAATGAAGGATGAACAACATTTAAATGGTGCAATTATGAGGGATGCCAAGATCCATTTTAGTATATAGGTAAGAGGAGGGGTGAAGGATTATGTCAAGTGAAATGAGTATACCCAGGAACTGAATCAAGGGTTTTTGAGGGATTATCAAATGTCTCTTAAAGTCCCTAATTATTAGAGTGGGAGTTATCAAGGAGAGAACGTTTGTGAGCCAGGCACTAAACTCATTGAGGAAAGAAGCGAAGTGCCCTGGAAGTTAATGGACACAAGCTACCAGAATTTTGATTGGGTGATAGATATGGACTGAGTGAATCTCAAAGGAGGAGAGGTTACTGAGTGATGGTGGTAGATAAAGAAGTGGCAATGGGGAGCAAGGAGTATTCCAGCTCTGTGGAATTCTTAGGCTTGTGTCACAAGCAGCAAATCAAATCTCAGTGAGAGCCAGAAAAAGAGAAGAAATGAAAATATTTACAATGAAAGCAAGTTTGTAAAGTTGCAAGTATTCCACAGAGCATGGTGGAAGGGGCAGGTAGCTTTAAAGTGGGGCAGCGGGGACATGAGAGTTTAGTTGAAGGTAACAGGAATAAGATTGGGCAGTAGGGCATAGAGAATGGGGTCTGAATGATGACAGCCAGGACTTCAAAATCATAGAGATGCAGAGGGTATGATCAGGTGAAAGTTTCTTAATCACTGAGGAATGAATTCAGGTAGGTTATCAATATCACTATGGGTTTAGTCTCTTGTTGGAGTCCTCTCAGGGTTTTAGGCATCTCTGGTAAGATAATAAGTGAGAGAAGCTAAAAGAATGGTGTTTCTCTCCTTGTTCCAAAGGTAGGAATCCAAACAGAAGACATGATGGAATGGCATTTCTTCTCTTCCCACAGGAGGCAGAAGGTAGAATGGGCCTAATTTCTCTCTGCAAATCCTTTAGTTGTTGTGCATCCTGGCACAGAAAGTCTCATCCACATGGAGCTCCTCTGACTTACTGAATGTCACCATATCCTGCCCTGCTGAACAGATATGCTTCCATGTGGAGACAAGGGGGGCTGAATCTACAGAAGCTAAGTGCCACTATTCCCTTATTTCATATCCTTACTATATCATGGTTAAGTAAACCTCCTTTTGTTATCTGTTCAATGACCTAGGAACGCCTCTTTTCATTTTAGCAAGACACCAGAGAAAAGACCCGGGACTCACCTGAACTCTCCCAAATTCTCCTCCAAACTACTTTAAAATCATGCTGCAAAATGAATTCTGGAGTGGCAGAACCCACAAAAGGACAGTTTGAAATAACTTTCTAGCCAAAGACAACCTAGAATCTATAGTAATAATAATAGCTAACATTTATATAGCACTTACTATGTGCCAGGAACTGTGCTAAGCACTTTCCAATTATTATCTTATTTGATTCTCACAACAATCCTGGGACATAGGTGCTATAATTTATCACCATTTTACAGATGAGGAAACTAAGGCATATAGAGGTTAAGTGACTTGACAAAGGTCACATAGCTTGTAAGTGTTCTGAGATTAGATTTGAACTCAGGTCTTCCTGATTCCAGACCTGTCACTAAATTGGCCCAGTTCAGGCCTGGCCTACTAGACTGTGGAACTGTGAGCAACACTTAAACTTTCTGGGCCTCAGTTTTCTTGTCTATAAAATAAGGGAATCAGAATAGGTGCCTTCTGAGGCTTCTTCTACATCTACATTTATGATCCTATCTAATGAAATTTCATTTTTTCCTATCCATTTAAGGTTTATAAAGTCCTTTCTCCATAATAATCCTATGAGGGTAGTATATTCACCATTTTACATTGATAAAACCAAGTCAGAGATGTTAAGTGACTTCCCTGGATCATACAATTAGTAAATACTTTGTTCCGGCAAGGACAGCTCCAAGACTAGTACTCTTTCAATAAAAGTAAAGGTAATTTCCAAGAAGTCAAAACAGCACTTTGGCTTTTAAAGCCCTTCACATTTTCCCTTTCTAGTCTTCTTATACTTTACTCCCCTCCTTATAGCGTATGATCCAACTGTACTGATTTTCTTGGTGTTCCTCACACAAGAAACGCCATCTCTCAACTCTGTGCCTTTTCATTGGCTGTACCCCAAGGTTGGAATGCTCTCCTACCCCTCCACCTCCCGGTTTCCCTGGCTTCCTTCAAGATTCAGCTCAAATCCCACTTTCTGCACACTTATTTATGTGTGTATATTTTACATACAGGGGTGTGTGTATGTATATAGGTATGTATGTATGTACACAAAAATACATATATATATATCTATATGTGGCAGAGGGAGAGATTGATTGAATCTTGTGTATACACTTGTTTGCATGTTGTGTCCCCCATTAGAATGTAAGTTCCATGAGGAGAGGGCCTTTCCTTATATCCCCAAACACTTAACACAGTGCTTGGTACATATTAAGAGCTTAATAGGTGCTTGTCAGCTAACTGACTTTAAAGATCACTTAAATTATCTAAAGAGGATATGGATCTATTGTTTTATTATATAAACCAATCAAGTCCTTTGATCTCTTTACCTCTGGAAAAATAAGCCAACTTTCCCCCCAGAAACAAGAAATAGTCTATTTCCCCCAACATGAAATTTCAACTTTCTCTGGTAGAATTTAATTTTACCAAATTTATTACAGTATCTTAATAGCTATCTTACTTTAGGGTAGGAATTGACAATTTCTCCAAAGTGGCAAACACAGGCTAAGATTCTATTAATTCACTTGTTACTGGAAGGGTCAGCATAGCAATGGTGTCTCAGAATTCTCCAGACACTGAGCCGTAACCTAAACTTCAGCAATGTTATCAAAGGCGGTAGGTAGGAAGGAAACTCACGAGGAGGGATGCTAATAGGGAAATATGAAATTCTTACAATTTGACCTAAGGTTAGCCTGGGTAATACTGCTGTTACACTAAAAATCATATCTCTGCTACCTTCAATCTATATGCAACAGTTTGCCTACCTCTGTTTTACATTATTAGAAATGAAACAATATATAAAACTATGAATGATGCCTCAATATGTCAAGCACAATGGTTTATATCTCATTACGGTCACTTTATATAGCCCTGAATTGATTTAAAATTAATCTGAAGTACCAGGAACTCACACTGGCCTTAGAGAAATTAAAATTAATGTGCCCTACATGATAATTCACATTTATAAAGCATTCTAAGCTTTTTCCTAAAAAAAAAAAAAAAACCAAAAACTCTATGAGGTAAGCAGTGCAAATATTATTACTCCTACTTTTCAAGTAAGGAATTTGAAGCTCAATTTGTTACAATTTGACTCTTTCCAAACATCAATGGAAAGTTCAGATATTTATAGGTATAAGATTCCCCGTTTTTCAAACCTAGAAATATCTAAGGAAAAGTAAAGCAACTTTTGGAAGAGGTGATGGAGAGATACAGAAATATTTAAGTGTTCTTAGATACGACCAGTGTGTTGACCTGTTTTGCTTGACTATATACACATATTTGATACAATAGAGAAAGGATTAGAGGATAATAGGGGGGAGATATCAACAAAACATTTTTAGAAATACACAGAAGGAAAAAAAATGCAGATAGATACAAATAGAGCTACTTTGTTACTATGTTGTTAAACTTTTTGTGTCTTTAGAAAAATGTAACAAGAGTTCACAGTTTTTTGTACTTTTCTAATCTTTACATCTTGTATTTGTTGATGACTATTAAGTTCACAAAAAATTTTTAACAAAAAATTAGGTAATGTTCAACTTTTCATGGTATTTTGCATGGTCCCCTGACTGAGAATGTAGTATAAATAAAAACTCCACACAATTCCCTTTCCCTCAAAGACAAAGATGGAGGATGAGAAATGGCTCATTGTTATGGGGATCCAGATATCACAGAATCTTTGAGACTTAAAATGGTAATCTAATCTATCTCCTACCATTATTTATTGAGTAGGTTATACAAAACATATGCTAAAGGTGCCATAGTGACAGTCAGGAACTTTTGAAAAACAGGGATAAAGGTAGCAAGGAAACCAGTTCATATTTCTGAAACTCAGATATTTACTATATCACAAGAAAATTTTACTTGACTAAAAGCTGCATTTTGTGAACCTAATATAATGCACATAAAATAATTAAGTTTCACTTATCAATCTATCAAATTAGTAAAAAGGGAGAGGGATTACAGTTATTAATGTCAGCCAATGAATTGAACATAAATGATATATCATAATGGCAAAGATTACACCTAGTGATATTGACTTGGAATTGGAAACCTCTGAATCAGTGATTTACACAAAAATAAACAAATCTGAAATTATGAGCACATTCCAAATATCCTTTTAAAAGATCAATAAAATACCCATATAGTCTCAAGGTACTTATGAAAGGTCATCACAAAAGGATACGTCATAGTCTTTCATTTTAATACTATTCACCTCTGTTTTGACTCCCTCTATTAAAACTAAGTTCCCTTTTCTCTATTTCTCTCTTTTCAAGTATTTTCTTCCCTTGTTTCATATAAGGATCTCCCTGAAACTTCAGTCTATCCAAAAGTCCAAGGCTCATTTCTATTTAATACCATCTCTGTGACAATTGAGCTGTCCACTGGATATGAGGATGAGTATGGGATGGGAGGGGGGAGGGGGGCTGGAGGCTGGGAATAGTAGGAGGTTGTTTCATTTTAAATGGTACACAGGGTCATTTCAAAAATCTGTATGCTCTGCCCAGCAGCTAGCAAAGCTAATACCTCACAATTAGTGGTGGACACACATGGAGTAACTCACCCCTTTATGTTTAGCTTCCTCATTCAAAGCCGTCACCCAAGCCACTTGCCACTGGCTCCTCCAACTGTTTAGGGATAGTACCCATTTCAGCAAGAAATCCAAATCTTCCTTCTGTACTGGCTGGAAAGAGTCTGTTGACATCCTGCAGGGACTGGATCCAACAATGATCAAGGCATATTGCACCAAATAAATGCTTACAATCACCAGGGCAGCAATGAACAGAGTGACCATGGTTAGCCACTGGATTTCATCAATCCAATAACCTAGACAAATCATGTCATTTAATGCCATTCCAATTTCTTTGAAAAATCACTGCTCATCTAGGCTGCTGGGAAATTCAGTTTCCACAAAAGACACGTTTCTCATTTCAGAAGGGTGAATTCAAGACATTTCCATCCAGTTTGAGAATACCTGGTTTGAAGTTAAGTTTCTGATGCTGTAAAAGAGATGGAGAAAAGAAAAGATGGATAGAGGGAGAAAGGAAGGTAAAGAGAGAGAAGGGAGAATGAATTAACAAGTTATTTTTTGGAAGTTTTAGTAATATAAACCACTTTTCAGAGGTCCTCCTGTCAATCCAGTTTATCAATTAGTACCAATGCAGTTTCAGTTTCTAAAGTAAAGGAATGGATTGTAGGAAAGTGAGAAAGCTCTAGAGTGAAGGTAAGCAGAGCTTACTTACTACAGAAGATATCCCCAAAGGTTGCAAACAATAGCCAAGGTAAGCCAAGAAACACACCTACACGACGAGCTCTCACAAGCCATTACTTAAGCCCAGCATAAAAATAATAATAATAATAAAGGAAAAATAAAGAAGAAAATTTCTGAGTCCTCTCTTCAGCAAAAACAGAGGAAAAAACCTGCAAATGTTAGCGGAAGACTGCCTTTCTGCTTCCCCTCTCAACCAGAGCCGCGGGAAAATGGGTCAACTCCAGCAATTACAGATATTCCCTCCCTAGTCTTCCCACTCCCACAGTCACGGTGCACAGACCTTTTCCGCGGCCTGACCCAAACCTAGCCAGGTTGCAACTAAGGAGGGTTAAGCAAAAGGTCCCAAGCGGTAGGAAGAGAAAGGAGAGCAACATCTCCAGAAAAAAAAAGAGTAGGCGGAGCACGGCTCTAACAAGCCTCACCCATGCGCTCCAACCCCAAGAAAATGGCCAGGCTCCAGAGGTTGGAAAAAAGTCCATCCCCTTCCAAGGCTACACGTTGGCTTTCACCAATCACACAACCCTGGCTTCAGGTCTTAGCGTCCTGCAGGACTGCCGGCTCTAAGACTTGAGTCTAGGGCGCCCACCAGTGGAGAAGAAAGGAAAGAATGCATCTTCACCTTATCCCCTGCATCCTTCCCTGACTCGCTTCGGGGCTACAGCCCTTCAAATTCTCATCAGTTCTTCTCGGTTTGCGCACGTAATCGAATATAAAAAGAAAAGGTTCTATCATTAGCCCTATCGATTTGGAATCGCCCGGGAAAGTGACGTTGCCTCACCCATTTTCCCCACTACACAAGGGGTTCTAGCTGTTCTCCCAGCAACTTTTTGCTGAGGTAGGAATGGAGAAAGGAAAGAGCATAGCTTGTATAAGTCATCAGGACGTCACTGTTACTAAAACGGCATCAGCCTAACTGAACATCTGCTCAAGTGAGTCCTCCAGTATTTCTTTTGCAGATCTCTTAGGCTGTTGACATTGGCAAAGAGGGGAAAGGGATGGTGTTTCCTCACTATTTCTTCTTTTATAGATAACATTCATGATTCCAACAAGACATAGACTTTCCCGTTAACAAGTAAGACAAAGGGAACTATTGTTGTTCTGTGAATTTATTTAAGTAAATTTCACACTTCAAGGGTGCTTTCCAGGCCGTATGTGAAGCAGCAAAATTGTGTCTCTCAAAAACTACTTAGAAAATTCCCTGAAAGTACGTGAATTGTCACATGTGAGATTAGTAATATTTCTACCTTGTGTGGGAATTAAAGTTGGTGTAACCCTTAAATGCAGTTTTTTGTTTATTTTGTTTTCTTATTTTTTTTTTTAAGAGGCTGTAGGGGTGGAAGGGTAGGACGGAGTCTGAATCTGGCAGTAAAGCATCTAATCACCATTATAACTGTATGACCAGGAGACTGAGACAGAAGAGAAGAAATAAGGCAGAGGATGAGATCTACTGCTAACCACCCCATTCAAAAGAGCTTCTGCAGTGACACTGAGATGACAGATGGAAATGACACTGAGATGACAGGACCATACAGGATCAACCCATCCAAGAGAGCTGGATAGACTTCCACAAGCACAAAGTCTCAATGTGTGAAGTGAGGCTAGAAACAGGAGTAAGCAGAAGGAAACAGAAAACAATGAAGAACTACTCTGGATTAAGAGATGTTGAAGAGGCAGATACAGAAGAGTAAATTCATAACAATTAAAAGCAAAGCTCAAGGGGGTGGCTAGGTGGCCTAGTGGATAGAGCACCAGCCCTGGATTCAGGAGACCTGAGTTCAAATCTGGCCTCGGACACATAACACTTACTAGCTGTGTGACCCTGGGCAAGTCACTTAACCCCCATTGCCCCACCTCCCCTCCCAAAAAGGAAAGCACAGAAGAAAAAAAGTCAGCCTCATGGACTCCAAGACTGGCTGGGAGAAATGAAGCAAAAGATTAAAATAATGAAATTAGAAATAATGTTCAAGAGGAAAAAAATGGAAGGAAAATAATTTTTTGTTGAACATTTTGTTGAACATAGTAATATACACTACTATATAGTTCCTGTTCTTTGTCTTCCCTGGTGTAGACATTAGGACCATACGTGTCTCCTGAAAGAAATTTACTAGGGATTTTTTTTTCAGTTTTTGACAAAAATATAGCATGGCATTGTTTTTTAAATAGTTGATAAAATTCACCTGTAAAATTTTCAAAACCAGAATTCCTCTTTCTTTCTCTTTTGTAGTTCCTTCATAACTAGTTCAATTTCTGACATTTGGTTGCTTAAGATATGCACTTACTGTTTTATTAATTTGGGCACTTTAAATTCTGTTTTACTACAATGCAATTGTATGTAGTAGATTCTGACAATTCTTTTTTATTTTTTCCCATGTTGTTTACATTTAATTTTGGGGACTTGATTTTCCTTGGTGTTTTTTTCCATTAGGTTAGTTAAATGTTTATCAATTTTATTGGCTCGTACAAAGAAATAGATTTTAGTTTTAATTATAATTTCAGGAGCTTTTTAATTTCCTACTATATTTATTTCTACTCTAATTTTTAATCATTCCTTTTTGTGATTATTTAGGTTTATTTACTTATTGATTTTCCAGTTTCTTATATTACCTACTTAGTTAATTAATCCCAATTTTTTCTATTTTGATCATGTATATTTACAAGGATTGTAATGCTTCTTCAGAGAACCGCTTCAGCTGCATCTCAAATTTTGGCACGCTGTGCCATTGTCAAAGGGGCAGCTAGGTGGTGCAGTAGATACAGCACCGGCCCTGAAGTCAGGAAGACTCATCTTCCTGTATTCAAATCTGGCCTCAGAAACTATCTTTAAAAAGTTATAGAAGGAAATGGCAAACCACGCTAGTATCTTTGCCAAGAAAATCCCAAATGGGGTCATAAGGACTCAGACATGACTGAAATGACTAACAACAACTATCATTGTTAAAATTCTCTCATTCATGGTTATTATCTAAATGTGTCTTTGACTCACTTGTTATTCAATATGTTATTGCTTTCTGTATTAATTATATTCTTGAGGTATGATCTGTTAAGAACATAATTAATACTTTTATGCTTGCTTATTTTATCTGTACTCAAATGAATGGTCTATTTTTGTAAAGGGAATGTGAAAAACAAGTATATTCTTTTTCGTGCACATTTGCAAAACATCATATATCTTTTTTCAGATCTACTTTCCCACATGGTATGTTCAATTCTACATTAGCCCTTTTTAGCTTCGTGTCACATTTGCTCAGCTCTGAGATAGAAACAGTAAAGCAAGCTATACTGTTTGATATTATTTACATCTTTTAGCTATTTAGTTAACTTTTACTTTGTGTTTTTACTATTGATCATTTACTATTTACTATCGATGATAATTTTTTTCAAGTTCTACAATATCTTTAAACAATATAATTTGCCTCTAGCTCTTTTCAGGTGAACCAATCCAACCATTTTGGAAAGCAATTTTGACATAGCGATACCGCTACTCGTTCTCTACCCCAAGATCAAAGAAAGAGGAAAATGATGCATGTGTTTTATAGCAGCTCTTTTTGTGATAGCAAAGAATTGGAAACTGAGGGAATGTCCATTATTTGGAGAATGGCTGAATAAGTTACGGCATATGAATGTGATAAAATATTGTGCTTTAAGATGAAATGAAGGCGATGATTTCTGAAAAACCTGAGAAGACTTGTATGAACTGATGCAAAAAGAAATGAGTAGAACCAGAAGAATAATCCATACAGTAATAGCAGCATCATAAAGATAATCAACTTTGAAAGAATTAGTAACTCCAATCAACACAGTGACTCATCAAAATTCCAAAGGACACATGAAGAAACATACTATACTCCTCCAGATAGAGAACTGATGGACTCAGAGTGCAGACTGAAGTATATATTTCCCCCCTTTTTAATTGCTTTTTTAAAAACATGGCTAATGCAAAAGCTATTTTGCATGACTATACATATTGATAATGGGTTCTGTTTTTCTTGCCTTCTCAATGAATGAAAAAGTTGGCAGGAGGAGTGAGAAAATTTGGAACTTAGAAAAAGTCTCTGTGCTTTAAAAAGAAAAAAGAAAGACTTTAGTATTCTGATTAATTCAACCATAATCCATAAGTACAGAGAACTGAAGATGAATTAGGCTACTCATTTCTTGCCAGGGAAGTAAAAGACATTAAAAACGCAATACGAAACACATTTTGAATTTTGCCAAAATGAGAATTTGCTTTAATGAGCCATGCTTGTTTGTTGTAAGGGATTTTTTTTAAAAAAATTATGTGGCGTGTCAGTGTGAAGGGAGAGATAATAAATGTTTATATAAATAAAATTTTTAAAGGGAAAAATGTGGATGCTCTGAAAATAGACTAACATCAAAGATTTTTTCTTCAGTTTCTGGTTTTTCTTCTAATTTTAGATGCATTATTTTGTTTGTGCAAAAAAATTTTAGGTAATCAAAATTATCCATTTTACCTCCTATGAGCCTCTCTATCTCATTTGGTCATAAATTCTTCCCTTGAGCATAGATTTAATAGGTAATTCCTTCCCTCCACTTTTTTGCTCCACATAATTTGCTTGTGATATTGTCCTTTATGTCTAAATCATACATCCATCACAAGCTTATTTTATGTAGTGTGAAATGTTAGTTTCTGCCTAGTTTCTGCCAGACTGTTTTCATTTTTTCCCAAAAAGTTTTTGTCAAATGGTGAGTTTTGTTCCAACATCGAGGAACTAGCTATTTGGGTTTATCAAAAAGTAGATTATTGTGCTCATTTGCTTCTGCATAGTGTGTATCTTATCTGTTACATGGATGAACCTCTCTATTTCTTAACTAGTAGAAAATTGTTTAGATGATTACAGATTTGTAATATAATTTGAGATCTAATACTTCTAGGCCCCCTTCCTTCCCATTTTTTTCATTTATTCCATTGATATTCTTGACCATTTGTTCTTCCAGATGAATTTGATTATTCTTTCTAGCTCTATAAAGTAATTTTTGGTAGTTTAATTGATATGCTATTGAATAAGTAAATTGATTTAGTTAGTAATGTCATTTTTATATTGGCTTAGCCAACTCTTGAATAATTAATATTTCTTCAATTATTTAGATCTGTATTTATATGTGTGGAGCACTTTGTAATAGTATGTATATAGTTCCTTTGTGTATCTTGGCAGGTAGAAAGCCCAGTATTTAATATTGTCCATAGTTATTTTAAGTGGAATTTATCTCTTCATGCTATGTTTTGTTGATAATATACAGAAATGCTAATGATTTGTGTGGATTTATCTTATATTCTGCAACTTTGTTTAAGCTGTTGTCTTGATTGTTATTTTAGTTAACTCTCTAGAGTTCTCTAAGCATACTGTC